CATCTACAGTCCTGCCAAATTTCATGTTGATTGGTGTAGCCGTTTTGTGCTACAGTTGACCAAAATCCCTGATTTTTTTAGTGTCAGMAAACAGGCGGTTTCAAAAACCCGTGACGTCACAATCCCGGTGACCTACCAACACCAAGGTGAGCCTCACCTGGTAACCCAAGCAGAAACTCCGCACACTTCTTCACAGGCCAACCATGGTAGTTCTACTGTTTTTACAACAGTCATGGAGAACACAGATGCATGGCCTAATTTTATTTTTATTTTTATTTTTGATGACAATGTTCYAGCAATATTTCCAAAAGAAAGTTATAGTTTGTGCAAATAATTTCACGATGGGCTACTTTGGAAACTACTACCAGCAGGATTTACCCAAGGACTTAAAGCTGAAGGAAACTTCTGTCCTTTTTGTTCCTCCCAAATCTGCAGATGATGGCGGTAAGTGATGTGTTGCTGTTTGGCGTGAATATGATTTGTCAGTTAGCACAAATTCACCGTGCTGCCAGGACTACCGAGGAGGCGAGCCACTTCACCTTTCCCCCTCCGCCTGGGGAAATGGTAACGACAGTCTGTGCTCCTCATTTTGCCCCTGTGCTRTCTTTGCTGCAGCGGGTGTTGCTGGAGCATGAACCGCCTTCCCCCTTCCACCACTCCGGCCTGGGAAAACAGTGACCGATTCATGTTTGCCTCTCCAGGCACCAGTCTGTCCCTTTTCCCTGCTGGGGTGGCCGCAGAGCGCGGGGCGCATCATCGTCAACCAATCCGGCTGTATACAGTGCGGCCACCATTAGGGCTCGGTAGGAAAAGACTGGAGCGTCTGACCGAAGTCAGGTGTCKTTGTGCTGGAGAGGCCAATGCGAGGGGCGGTCAAGGTCCACGACTAGCAGCCTGCAGACTCCCGCACCACAGCACTGGTGACACAGGAGCCTCCACACTGCGAGTCGCAGACCTTGACCGCCCCTCGGTTCGTCTTCACCGGCTCCTGGAATTGGCGAAGGACGCGCGTTTGCATCCCTGGCACCAAGGCGCCTGACTTCAGTGGTCCCCGCCACACCGGAGCAGAACCAGGCGTGGACACAGAGACCTGGATCCACAGGGCACCCCCCCCACCCCCAGGCCAAGGCCCGACAGGGCCAGAGGACCCAAGCCCCACCAGCCAGTCACCAGGCCTAGCCGGCACATGCCCAAGCACCCAGCCCCAGACAGTGAGAGCCACCAGCACACCGGCGGGCAGAGGCACACCCCACCAGAGGGCAGTGTGGCTGGGGGCAGAGCCCACCACTAGCAGTGGGCCCTCAGGTGAACCAAATGAGGGGGCAGCCTGAGTCCCAGCCTGACAAATACTCAATCATACACAGACACAATCACACAATCCCACCCTCATTCTCACACCCACTCATTCAAAGACAGACAAGAAGAACGCCACACCCCACTCACACTCCCGATACACAYTCTATGCCCCCCAGGTCCAGGACACGTACCCGCCCCCTACAGAGRGCAGGTCGTATCCGAACCCAGGAGGCAAGYCCATTCATTCTGGGGTGTGGAAGAACAGACTGCCAAGGCCCGTCCCAGACTGCACCAGGCCAGCCGACCGGCCTCCTGCCACAGCAAAGCAACACCACCAAACACTCCCACACACCGCAAACGGCCAAGCGCACACCCCCAACCGACCACCAGCCAGACCCTGGCAGCCACCCCAGCCAGCGGGCCAACCATGGCAACCAGGGGCCACAATCCGAGAGTCCGAACAACCCCGGGGAAGACAGACCGCCAGCCCCCCCCCAACAATGAACATGTTTTGTATAGCCCACAGATGGATCCTAACTTGTTCTAGGGCCCCCATAATATGTCCTCTTTAATATAAAATTAGATTTCAAATMATTTGTAAATGTAAGATTGATAATTTATGATTCAGTGCAACAAAATAACAGGAGTGTTAAAATTTCAGTGTTAAACTTTTAGGTGTTGATTTTACACCCCCCAGTGTTATTTTAACACTTTCTGAGTACACTGACACCCAGTGTTGGTGTTAATTCGCAGTTTTGATTTCCTCGGTGTTGTCTCAACACTGGACAGTGTTAAATAAGCTCCGCCCAAAATTAAGTCTTATATAACACATAACGGTGTTGTTATATGACAC